AGACGACGTTTATTTATAAATTTGCCCATAAGTTTGAAAGTAGAGGTGTGCAAACAAAATATCAGGTATTTTTGTAATGTGCAAACGAAAATCTATCCATTAAGAGGTTTCAAAACAAATTTGGACAAAGTTGGGGGGCTATCGTGAAATTGGCCCCCCGAACCTTTTTTTAAATATAACTTTTGATTGAGCGGTGTGCAAACGAAAAATCGAAGTGTGCCAAACTGTGCAAACAATGTGCAAACGATTGACATAAAAAAAGTTTTTTTTTTTTAATGTTGGGGGGCCAACTTCACGTGGGTTGTGCGACTCATTATTTAACGAGAACGATATACAGACTGTGTCGTTCGAAGCGTTTCGTGCGATTTAATCTCGTTGTCATAATTCTATTTTTTTTTTTATTATAGAGTCTTGGATAAAAATTTTATTTACATATCAAACACATTTAAATGTATCATAACTTTATTACAAAATGATACCAGCTCTTCGAGCTTTTGACATTTCTAAATATTTTATATCATATAAACAAACAGTTGTTGTTGCATTGAAACTATTATAAGGGCTTGAGAGCGTAATATTCGCGTTGCGAACGTTTCGACATCTTGGCGGAACCACGAACCGCGTACCGGAAGCTTTTTAGCGCAATACTTTTTATACATAAAACTCACAAATTCTTTCTGCGACGTATGAAAACTCTGGAGATATTATTATTATTGTTGTTGTTGTTGATGTTGTTGTGTTGTTGTTGTTGTTATCATTATTACTATACAAAATAAATTAGCTGTCTGTGTTAATGTCGCTCTCGTAATTTAATAACACGATCTTTTGACAAATGAGCACGTTGTTTATGCAGAAATTAATTATGAACTCATCACGAATCATATTTATTATGTATGATGACGTACAATGAATAATAAACGAATAAATTGATATGATCGATCGGGAGTAAGTGGCCATCAGTGGAATTCCCGCGATTAAGTTGAGGAAGTCAATCTTTAAGTTTCATGAGCGTGTGGATCTAAAACTTATTATGAATTTGTCGATATTTTAATATTTCTAATCAAACGTGCGAAGAGAGAAAGGATGAGAGAGAGGAGGGAAATGGTTACTGTGTTTCATGAATTAACCATTTCTTCTCCCACTTCTCTCTGCTTTCCTCTCGCCTGATGTACGAATACGAGTAGTGGCCATTTTACAACGTCTATTATCGGGTTACAACTATCCCTCGTGCCAACGATTGGGAGTCAGGGCGGGACAAATTTGCTTCTCGTTGAGTAAATTTGAACTAGTCCGCGCGATAAGTCTATTTCGCGCCCTTCACACAATTAATGCGAAAATGGCGTAACTTATTGAAATCGTTCAGCAGAGCCGTGAGTTAACGCAAAAACAGAAATGCTAATATAAGAAATTGATATTTGATTTCTTATAGAGTTCTTATAGAGTTTCTCGTATATTTTAAGTTTTGCTGCTATTGATTGATAGGAAATGGAAGGAAATAAATGTGGTAATAATAATAGAAAATGTATAATGTAACAACAACAAAATACAATTTATTTTATAAATTATATATAATTGTTAAATTTTATAAATTGTATTTTATTGTTATTACACTTATACAATTTATTTTATACAAATAAAAAAATGCGCAAATAAGTAAGAAACACAATTGCTATGATATACTGATAATTTTATTACATTAGAAAAATAGTGCAAATCAGAAAATGAAAATTTTATATTTGTTATCAACATTATTATTTTTGCAAAGCTTGATAATGCGGATTATTTTAAAACGTTACAAAACGGAATTTTTCACAATTAAAACGATGTTGCAGTTATGATAATTATGCGCTGCAGTTTCCGCAGAGTGATTTACACAATTTAATTTAGCAAATGACATTTTGCATAACTGTGAGTGATTTAGTTGGCACGAGATTGAAATTGCTGAAACAGATCTGTAAAAGAATTATATCCGGGTAAACGCCCACGTTTTTCTGTCATCGGAATTTCGTAGAACCGTATCGTATATATTGGTCGCGGCCGTGGTTACGACTTATCAATTTATTTCTCCGCGGAATCACGAAGGTCGACAGTTCTTCGTTAACGAGGTCCGGTATATCTTCTGCGAACTGCAATTGAATCCACCGAAGAATTCATTCGTGCGAATTTTCTTCCAAGATAGTATCTTCCAATCAAAAAATATCGCATTCTCTTAAATTCAATTTGGTGTCTGGGATATACTTAAAAAAAAGAATTGAAAATACAAACTCTTTATTGTTTTCTTTCCTTCTTACGAATGTCGAGAAGTAAA